TTCGAGGGGGGTGGGGGGAAATCGGAGGCAGCCAACTAATACAATTAGACAGATAACGCGTCCAGCCATATCAAATGCAGCAAGTCACCAGACAAATGGATGCTGTCAATCCATTAACTCGAAAGGTTAATGGGTCGGAGGCTGTCCCCGACTCCCCCCTCTTTGACTTTGTATCGACACAATCGCAGGTTGAATTCTAACTGAAAAGAGAAGCACAAAGTTCCTCGCTAACCCACTTCCGACTTCCCACTTTTATCATCTATGGCACTTTTACGATACTTTAATTGTCCTTAAATGCCTGTATTTATGCAAAATGCTGTTAAATTAATGGCTCGCTTATGTTTTCCCCTAAATTAATAGCATAAATTACTTAATTCCCCCTTTACAAACACGTATATACAGACGCCAAGCAGGAAAAACAACTTGTTGACTGTCACTGTTCCATGCCAAAAGGCTGTGTAAGCCAAAAAAGGAGTCCTTCTCCACCCTTCACCCTTTTTCCCCAGCCCTGTCGCACTGTTGTCACAAAGTGTTCGCACAATTATTTTAAATGACTCGACACAAAAATTAAAAATGCAATAATTGCATAATGAAAGCGTGTGCCAACGCTGAGAGGCCTCCAGTCGAGCAGTCGCCCCAAATTGGAACTGGAACTGGATGCTGGCTGGGCAAAAGGCCAAAACGGATGAGGCATGCCCCCGACCGAAACTTGTGTGCATAATTCAGTTAAGGGGCGACGGCGACAGCAAACGCATGTGGGGGTCGGGGGTCGCAGATCTCAAGGACGACAAACAACAGAAAAAGGTCTCGGAAAAAGGACTGAAGAGAAGTCGGCGAAGGCGTGAACAACCGGGGGAAAAATCCAAAGCGGCTTAAATGTGTGCTAAGTGGCGTTGAGCCTATAATGAAACACCACCACAACTACACAGAACCACCTACACCTGCGCACACGTATATAAACTATTATACACGCATAGACACACACACCCTGGACAGGGAGAGACACGGAGAGAGAGATAGAGCCATGGTCCAAGCAGCAAAGCAAACATCCCGCAAAACTGCCACACCCACTTCCGGTGTTGTGTGTGTGTGGGTGTGTGTTTGTACAGGTAAGGCTCTCGAGGCTATCAGAAAACCACAAAAACCACCAATACATACTCGCACACCACAGGCCCACACAGACCCGACACAAAACTAGGCGCAGCCTCTACCGCAGCCAGGACAATGCCAGGACGGGGCCAGCGCTTGTCTCGTTTGTTATAATATTTTTTTTCATGATTTATTTGCCAAGCAAAATTTCCGTTGTCATCTCTTTGATTGATGGCCCCGAGGCCCAACTCAGGGGATGCGATGCTCTGTTCTGCTGTCAGTCTTCCTATTCATTCGAGTGTGTTATTAAACTCGTGCTTAATTAACGCGATTATTGCTCTGCCATTTGTTGTGCAAGGGTAAGCTACAGCACAATGCCACAATGTTTGTGGTTTGCAGCCCGAAAGCTTCGATACAGATGTGTCGGACTTCATTTGTTCTCGTCCTTCCTATCACGCACATCCCTCAATTTCGTGTCACATCAAAGTGCTTTGTGACGCCCCCTCCCACAGCCACTCACTCCATTTCCCCGCGGGCTGTCAATGTCGGCGTTGTTGATCACAAAAATTGAATTGTATATACAATTGAATTTTTGAAAAATGGCTGCAATGGCAGCCATTGCATAATGCCGAAACCAGACAGGACCCACAGACCGAACGAAGCATTTTGAGTTATGACACTCGTCTAAGGTCAGCAGCAGCTGTGCTCTGCATGATGGCTGGCCCCGTGTGGGGTGGGACAGTTCCTATGCATGGCAAGTGACAGTCAAGGTGTTTGCGGATTTTCCTGGGCCATGCCCTCGAATGCAATGAGACGGCAATAACGACGAGTATTCATAGTTGGCCAAGAAAGTGTGAGCGAGTGAGTGCTTGGCAGGGGAAATCGAAGATAAGATGCTGGCAAGAGTGTTGCCATTGATTGTAAATAAGAAAATTATTGAATTTGATGTTGGGTTGCAAGGAATCGACCAGCTAAGAAAATGTCAGGCCAAGGTTCGTGAATACATCTGTGAGATACTTTTGCATCTGTAAATAACTTTTGTAGCTGACAGATACCCAAGCGAAAGATACTGTTGTATCTTTAAGACTACATTAAGACTCTACTATTTGGCAGATTATTAAGTCCAGCTTTTCACACAGGATCAGCAGAGTTATAGCATTGTAAAGATTTCATTTACAAAGAACGTTATTGTGTCTGTACCCTTGATGTCCTGGAATCCAAAGTGATTGCAAGCGATCCGCGGCCCTGTCCCGATATCGAAAAGGTGTGGCACGTCCTGATCGGCCCACAAATAAAGGAGAAAATAAGAAAACAGAACTGCCTTGCAAGAGTTGTCCTGTTTTGATGTTGTTGTCTTGTTGCACAAAAAAAGTTGTTGTTGTTGTCAATTGTTGTAAAACAAGAAACATTTCGTTGTGCAACAACAATAACAGCTTTCAACTTGCGACCGCTCAAATGGGCGAAAATGTGATTTTCAGATCTGGGCTACCAGGCGAACAGAAATCAGCAGAAGGTTGCTGGTTTTGTGTTTTTTCATTGTGTCAAAAGATGGCCGCTATGAAACTGGTTTTAAATTGAATTGCAACTAAAAGTATGCTACATAATTTTTAAATAGAAAAGTAACTAAAAGTATGCTACACCATTTATAAAATAGCAAAGTAGCTAAAAGTATGCTACACATTTTAAAAACAGCAAGGTAGCTACAAGTATGCTACATAATTTTTAAATCGCAATGTAACTAAAAGCATGCTACACAATTTATTAAAATAGCAAAGTAAATAAAAGTATGCTACACATTCTATTTTGCAAATTGCTTAAGTTGCTTTCACGGACTTTCTTTTTTTTTTCTTAAACAAATCTTTTTTTCCACAGTTTTACAGTAAAAATTACATTTTAAAATTGTTTTGATTCTTTTTTAAATTTAGCTGGCTTTAATTAAATATTTAACTGTTAAAAATTTAAGAAGAGCTTTTAATTTTTGTTGTTTTTTCCCCTATTAAATGTTGAAAAAATACCATATGAAAATTACAAAAATTTTACTTGAAAAACAGAAAAAAAATACTGCAAAAAAGTACACCATAAAAACAAAAAAAAAACCTGTGGCATTTTTTTTTGTTATTTTGGGTTAAAAACGATTAAAGATGGCGCAGCCAGCCCAAAAGTATGCAGCAAAAATTAGAATACATCCTCACCGATATAGGGAAGCCACAGAATGGCGCCTAAGTAACTGTTTTTCAAACAGAAACCACAACTAATGTTGCACAATAATTGACAACAACATGAGATTTTTGTTTTCTTCTTTATTTTTGGGCCGATCCTTGATTTTACAGAGGTCATAATTTTGTTCTTTATAAATATGTACCTAATATAATTATGTAACTGTTTATGTATGTACATATAATTATGTGAAAATAAATGCCAGTCCAAATTGGCGATAAAAATGGGAAGTTGAAACAATCCCTTTCCTGAGAGAGTAGATTCTTTGCCGATCTGGCCCAATTTCCCCGAGATAAAGTTGACCAACTCCCGTTTAGTAACTTCGTGAAATTGGGTGGAGCAGGAATTGGGTTCCTTTTCATTGACCTATTCAACAATGTGGAATGTGTAGGAGACTCTTAGAAATATTTTCAGATGTTTCAACGTTTACGTAAACATTGCGTGACAAGCCCCATCAATGGAAATTCTTCTGCAATGCTATTCAAAATTAAACTGCAAATATTTTTGTGGTTTGGCAGCCATTTAAGAGGAATTTCGAATGTGCCAGGACAGAACAATTGAAAATCTACTGTGTCCTCGTTCTTACCTTTTCCATCTAAATATTTAGACAATCAAACAAGATTTGTGGTTATTTTGTGGTTAAGATGCTTGCTGCCAATCGATTCGAATGGAACTACATGCCATTCCATAGACAAGACAAACGCTTGCTCACACATATCCTCGTAGGATGGTCGTAGCCAGGACATTGCTGCTTCCTTTGCGGTGCCTGAAATGGTTGCAGTGATGTGCATTTCGTTTGCAATCCGGTTGCCCCTCCCAGATTTTGGTAGTGCCAAATCAAAGGCCAAAGCCACAAGCTCAAAGCAAGCGGATCTTTAATTAAACGCTCAAATGAGGTCAAAGGGTTGAAGGTTCCTTCCTAAATGATCCTTGAGTGTTCGATTAATTAGACATTTGGCTTCCCTTTGTCTACCCGGAATGAGCAGAGCTAAAGCTGGAACTCATTTTGCATAATCACAGATGACATCAGGGCCGCGGCGCGGTGCCTTTAAAAACTTTTCAATTAAAACAGCTCGCGACTGGCGAGTCACGCACTTTATACGAGCACTCGTACGAGGCGACAACGACACTGTTAATTATAAATCTCCGCCCGTGTGTGCATTGATGTGTGCTAGTGTGCATTTTTATTGCGATGCATCGGCAATTAACAGAAAAATATAACAACAAACAACTGGCAGCAGGGCTTGATACGCAGATGCTGCGATTTTTATGCCCAACTCATGCTCCTGAATTATTGGCGGTTGTTCTCCACGGTTTTTGCGTAAGCGCAGCTGCTGGCATTAATCCAACACGGTAGCCACCAGGACTCGGACACGGACACGGACACCAATCCAATACATACTCCAGCGTCTAACCGATGCGCCTCGTAAAGCACTCCAGCAATACCGCGATCCGGAAGCTCCATTCCAGTTTCAGCCCAGCACAATGTGAATTTCTGCAGTGATTTGCGTGCATCGGCATGTTCTGCGAGGCTTTCGACCATTTTGGCTGCTGCGGGGCTTTTTCCGTTGTTTCGCCGAAATTCGGGGCAAGCGTACAGTTCCAGAGCTATCCTGTATTTTAGTCGCAACATTACACAGCCAGAGAGACGAGTACTAACGGGCATCTCATAGCCTGGAGACTTCCATCATTCACTTTTACAAGTTGTTTTTTAGTTCTTTTTCGACCCAGCCTGGCATTCAATTGAACCGAAACGTGTATGGTCACTGGGGTAAGCCGTTCTGTTCTGTTCCGGGCTGTCCGCCCCGCGTCCACACGCATACGCACTCTCTGATTGCGTCAAGTTGAAATAATGTAATTAGTTTTTGCGCCGCGGTCGAGAGCAGGATGCAATTTGGTGGAGTGGGGATTGGATGGCCGATGTGGTCAAGGCGGGGATCATGGGGACCATGACCATGGCGAGTCTCCGATAAGTTTGCCTGTTTGATGTTTTGGGGCCAACGCCAACAGTATGTTTTGTGAACGAAAGACTACCCTAAAAGTTGGGCTCGGGTTCTGTGTGTTTGGATTGGAATCTGAGAAAGATAAGAGATCTGTTAAAAGTTAATTGGCATGAGTAAGACTGTACATATACTCGTATATTAATGCAAAGATTTGCTAAGACAAACAAATCAAACTAATTAAAGCTGTATCCGCACCATAACTCATAAACCAACATCTGCTCCTGCCGGACTTGGTTAATGCTCTGTAAAGCGCTCAATTTTTCCATTATTCCGCTTCAATACATCTACGTCGTGGACCCAAAGGACCCACTCCACTTGTGGCCCACATAGTTAAGTATCTCCTATATCAAGTTCCGTTCCCAGCCAAAAATATTTTTTGGCCAGATTCCATTGCGAGAGCAATCAGAGAGCAGTCCGGGCGCCGACCAATTTAATGGCGCCCATTATGCGCCCATATCCAATGGCCACCCAATTATTGTGCCCGAAAAATTATCGCACCATGGCATGCCATGGTCCTTCGCTCTTCGCTGTCCTGTCAAATAATTAATTAGAAAATAATTGCACGTAATAATTCATTGGGCCCAGTGGGCCATTCAAATGGAGATAGATGGAGAGAAGACAGCAAATAGCCCATGGGCAGCCAGTCACAGATTTCTCTCTTTGCCTGCCAGAGGATAAACTGGCACTGGTGCTGTGCTGTACTGGGAGGGGGATGGTTCATAGCCAGCCAATGGCTAATTCCGACTGTTAATTTTGTATGCATTCGATTGGGTGCGTTGGGTGTCCCGGTCCCGGTCCGGGTCGCGGTCCCCCAGCTCCTGGTTCCCCCATCCATTCTCGGCTGTCATGTCGCATACATCTAAAATTAATCATTGGAATGCAGCATAATTTATTATGTCACACAGCAGCCGCACTGGCCACAAACCCAAAGCTGCCAGACAAAACCAAACCAGAGAAAGAGACAGAGAGTGGGTGAGTGAGAGCTGCCTTTCCGCATAGGCGTTTACTTCCTGCGGTTGACGGTTTGTCAGGGCGCCATTTAAAAACGGTCAGGGCCCAAAGCCCCCCAATCTGCCCCGGTCTGCGCTACCTCAGAAATGTCATGTCGAGTGTTGGGGCTCTTCAATCAAATGTGAAAATTTGTATAATTACAGGCTGAACGACGGCAGGCATCCAGCGTTGGAGCCATTTGATTTAATCAGGTTAATAGCGTTTGCATGTCGCGAGGGACCTCTCGCACACACACACACTCTCTCTTCCCTTAATATTTACTCGTATGGTGTGTGTGTGTGTGTGTGGCGGGGGACTTAGAGGTGTTAAATGTTTGCGGTTGCATTGTAATAAACTTGCATGCAAATGGCCGGCCATCAGGTTTAATTACAAGCGCCTCAGAGCCGCGAGTAATGAAGAAAAACTGCCGACCTCAACCGGAAGGTAAATTTATGATTGATGAAAATTTTCGTATGCGTGAGTGTTGGCTGGCGGAGGTGTGAGCCATCAAAGGGTTTCCTGCTGATGTATGTAGGATAAACAGCGATAAGTTTTTGTTTGCCCTATGATTGATGGCCAGCTGTTAAATCTTCCATTAGCGCCGTTAAAAAATCTGTAAAAAGAAACCAGATTTTAGGGTAGTCTGTCGGCAGGTTCTGGCCCTTTACTCCTTCAATAAAAACAACAATTTTGGTTTTATTTTGCATTTTTTTAAAGTTATTTTATTGCATTTCTTGCCCTCGCTTCCTCGCTTTTCCAAATGTGTGTTTGTATGTATCTCAAATGATTTCATTTGTTTGCTATTTTATATGCCATTACCATACAATATTACATTTTTCCATTTCTGCTTTTGTTTTCAAGTGATTTGCCATGATTTCATTTGTTTGTTTCTCGTTTTGTTTTCTATGTTTTGTTTACAATTTGTCACAACCTTACAAATTGAAAATTGATTAAACCAATAAAGTTTTGTGTGTTTTTTTTTTGTGTGAGAGTGCTATTGGAATTGCGCATCAATACTACTCGTACTATCCGGAATAGAAGAAGTTTTGAGCTGGATTTACCTTTTAATTTTGTTTGGACTCAGATCTGCGACTGTTTTAAATATAATACTTTCCCATCGTAATATCTGCAATCTATTATCAATTTGGTTTCGGTTTTGTAAGGTGGCGCCTGGGAATGGGCCTGGAATGGGGAGCCTTCCCGTTCCCCGACGCCTCTCGTTCCCTATACACGATGCTAAATTTAAAATATATTCATTACCATCTTTACCATCTAAATGTTTCAAAATCAATTGGGGCTTGCTCTCCTTCTTATTTTCGGGAAGGGAGTGAGTGGAAAGTGTAATGCTATTTTCAATGTTTTATGTTTTAATTCATATTTTTATTTCAATTTGTGTTTTGCATTTGCTCATAAAAAACAAATGTTACAACTTACAATTTGGCACATCATTAAAGATTAGAGTTCTCATATAATATATATATATATTTGTATACATATATATACTTTTGTATTTATACTTTATGTGACGCCTACGCGTTTGATCTATGTGAAATTAAACAAAAGTGGCGCTGGCTTATGGTTAGACTACACAGATTCGACTCTGGGAGTGTGGGCGTGAGGGAGGGGTCACAAAGTAAATCGGGTCAAAATGAGAACTTTATCATATACATAATATATATATCGTAGGCTACCATATAGCTGCAGTGTTTGATTGAGTTGCGTTTGCACTTATTGCATAATTTATCCGAGGTCTGACTCTTCCCTCAACGCATTTGCTTAAGACAAAAATTGTGTTTTCCCTTAGTTTTGTTTTCTTTTGTTTTGTTTTTAAAATTGCGGTGGAAGTTGAGTTTTATAATTTAAATGTATATATCGTACCGTATTATGTTTAAGTTTTGCTTTATAACTAGATTGTTTTTATCTTTTGTCTGCTCATAAAACCCAAATCTGTGTCTGTGTCTGCGTCTGCGTCAGTGTGTGTGTGTCTGTTTTAGGGTGATTTTTCGGGTGGACCCAAACTATTTCTGCACTATTTGAAAAATGTATTTTATTTAATTACGTCTTTATTATAGATAATTCACTTGAAAGCTACATTTAATTTGGCAATTGTTGGGTTCGATTTGTTCTCATCATTATTTTCTTTTTTTTATTGTTTTTCCTTTTCGCTCACATTTTCTGTCCCCTTTCTCTGTCTCTGTCATCGGCGTACTAACTAATATCTAACTAAAAATCGTTTTAAAATATAAACTTTGGCTTTAAAAATGTCAACGTAATGTATAGTATATCAGTATAATAATTATGAGAGAGAATCAAACAAAAAAAGTAACACATTTATGTGCGTATAAATCTGAGTATGACATAATTGCTTCGAGTTTTTTGTGGGCAACCCTAATCCTGTTGCTATGCTCTCTCTTTCTCTTCTCTTTCTCCCTCTTCCTCTCTCTATATTTCATTGTGTGCGTGTATTGGTGTGTGTGTTGTTTTTGGAGAGGAATAATGTAAAATATTATATATCTTCATAAATATGTATGTACATTCTGAGACAGTTTCCAAGTGATTAGATTGAAAAAAAAAGAAAACCCATCAAAGTTGAAGCTCTTTGGAGTTGATGAAATTTTCCTGCCTGTCCTTCCATATAATTTTGCATAGTTTTGCTTTAGGTTTTTTTTTTTTTGGTTTTTTGTTTTCTTTCAAGGAAATTTGAAGAACACTTAAGAATTGCACGATTACACACACACACACGCACAATATTTAGTAGCTTTGATTTCTTTAGCATAGTATGGTTCATAAACAACTAGTATAAACTTGACGACGACAGTGGCTGCCTAAGAATCAAAATAGAGAACACGTACGTCATTTTGGTTGTTGTTTCCATTGAGCATTTGATCGTTAACTTTTTGAAAAATACACAACGTTAAAAGTTTCCATTTGGTATTTTTGCATTTTGCATTTAGCATTTGTTTTCTGTGTGTGCATTAGATTCGAGTGTGTGTAGAAAATAAATTCTTAGTTTTCTTAGGGAAGGAAGTGTTTTCGCCTCGGTCTAGTCCGAAAGTGAACAACGTCAAAGAGGGTTCATTTTCATTTGCTTTTCTTAATAGTTTTGGGTTTCTGTTCTGTCTTACACAACACACAAGGAAAGTGCTACGGAGTAGGAGCTAAAAGTTGTTTAATTTGTAATGCTTATTATTCGATTTCCACATCATTCATCAATGGCTTTTTTTTGTCACTGGAAGCTTGACTTTTAAAAACTAATTTCTTTTTGTTTTTAGATTTTTTTTGTGTGTTTTTCTTTTGTTTTTTTTTTTTCTTTTTGTTTGCTTTGCTGCTATGGCGGCATTTAAAGTAAATATTATTGTATATTCCAAGGATATGTCTACGTGTTGATCTTTTGCATTTATGTACCTATGCACTACGATTTTTTTGAGCAATTCGAATTGAGTCGAGTTCTGTTTGGGGTTAGCTGCCAAAATATATAAAAATACTAGGAACAACCAAAGCAATGCATTTAAAATAAATTCGTCGACAATACAGTACAGAAATGAGTATTCTTTGGGTATTTTCAAATATGAAATTATATATCTAACATATATGCAAATAAACAAACTCTTTGTGCATTACATTGTCCCCTCTGTTTTAAGTTTGTTCAAACAATATAGCATAATTTAATTGGTTAATTTGTTCCGTTGTCTGATGCCTTTGCTTACTACATACTACACAATGCTACGGATGTTTAATATTTGTAAATCATTTAAAGCATACGGGGGGATCAAAACTTAGTTCAACAAAGTTCCAAAATCAACAACCAAAAGGTATGCTCGTATGTTAATATTAATATCTGATGATGTTACCGCATGAAAAGTATCTAAAAAACATTGCTCATTTTGTTTGTTTGGTTTCTGATATACAAATACAATGCCTATATCATAACTATATATCTTGTTGGTATATATATATCTGTATATATATATATATATATACATATATATATGTATGTATGTATGTGTATGTATATATAAATTCTGCTTTGCCGCACAAAGTTTCAGCTTTTGTTCTGGTAAAAATCTACGCATGAAGCACATGTTTTTCTTTCACTTGTTGCAAAACTGTTTTGCAATCTGAGCTTTTCTTTTCTTTTAATTTATGTAATTTTCTTTTGTTCCTTTTCTTTTTTTGTTACTTATACAAACTCCATAGAACTGTGTTTAGCGTTTTTTGTTTTGTTTTTTTTCTCTTTTGGTTTTAGTTTTGTGGCTTTTACTGGACGACATTGATTTGTTTATGTTCTCTTTTTCTTTTGCATTTGCATTGGTTGCATTTAGCTTTGATTTTCAACTCTCCAAGATCTTTGAGCGGCGGCTGTTGTGTGTTGAGTTTCTTGTATCTATCGGGTTGGTTGTAACTTCTACTTACTGCACGTAGAGGAGGAGTATTTACTTCTAAGCTACTTGCTTATTCGCATTTTCTTTGTTCATATATTGAGCATTTTCATCGAGAGTAGTTCAAGTGCATTTTTTGGCTGACTGGCGTTCTTAATGGTTCCTAATATGGCGTGAATCGATTGAAGCCGCCGCGGTACATGGTTGCCTATAAACGAGGGAGAAAATAAAAATGGGATATCGGATTAGTTTTGTTTATAAAAATAGTGTAATTATCTGATGAAAGTGAGTAGTGAGTAGAAATTAGTAAGCTGTAGAGAACTTACCCCATAGCCGGGCACGGGTCCAATGCCATGTCCTAGATAAGGATCTGCATACTCGCGCGCATAGCTAGAAATATTATTGTTGTGGATTTTCATCTTATTAGTAAATTCAATTGAGATTCAGTTGGGGGTTAATTTTTGATGTTTGCTCGATGATGTTATGATCCCAGTTAGATTTGTTTGTTAGTTGTTAATTTTGATACTGTTAATTTCTTCCTCTTAAATTGATTTTTTGTTTTTTTTTTAGTGTTTGTTCTTTTTGTTTATTGGAAGTTGTTTAGTTTGGATATGATTGTGCATAGGGCCTCAAAGGTTAGTTTTAGGGCTTCCTTGTTGGGCTTTAGACTGCTCCTACACTTTAAGTAATTACACAGTTAGATTTTAGCAAAAAGAATGGAAATAAATGGTTAAATGATTAGTAACATGTTAAATGACAGTTCAAAGAAATAAAATCATAATCGATTAACGAAATATACTTAAAACTAACCAAAATAAATAAAGATAAACTATGCAATAAAATACAAAGCGAACTTAAAACAGCATAATAATAAAAAGAGGATAAACTTAAACATAAAATGATTATGAAACATACAGAAATTAAAGATATGTGTGTACAGAACAAGTTTTCGGATGCTTTGCAGTCTATATAATACCAACAAATACTTCCAAAAGCTTTTAACCCATGGATTATTAGTTGTGGTTATTGATTATTTTGGTTAATGGATATTGGTTTGAGCGACCGGTTTGTTAATGACAGGGAGACTTCATCGGAATTGTTGGATGTGGGGCGAACTTACCCCGCTACGGTGGCATATCCGGCAAGAGCCGGCTGGGCGGCTGCTGCAGCAGCGGCCCCATAGGCCGCTCGGGCAGCAACCGCCGTGTAGGTGGTGGCAGCCGTGGCATACGCCTGCTGCTGGGCCTGAGACAGGGGTGTCTTTAACAGCGGAGCAGCGGCCTGGAATAATGTCAAGCAGATCGGGCGTTAAACAACAACGGAAATAGGGAGAAGCTAAAGAAACAGACGCAGTTACAAATTTGGGGGACGACAACGGCAAACGGCAAGACTAGCGGAGGAGAGACAGTGAGCAAATATTGTGAAAAATTAGGAACCTAAACCGGAAAGGCCAAAATAAAGGTAGTATATTGTATGTACGAGTACGAGTATATATAGATTGTAATATTAACCAAAACCAAAAACGAGTGCAAGCAAATGGAGTCGGCGGTGTGTGGTGTGTGGTGGTGTGGTGTGTTTTTGTGCTTGCCAAGGCTATACATATTGTATGCACACATTGATATATATGTATGATGATTGTAGCAGTGGTAGTTGTGTGGGAGGACCATTGAAATCGACAACTACCGAGAACGAACCCAAGATGCCAGACTACGAAACCCAAAAGAAACGGGACACGAACCAGTAAAGAACTTAGCATACATAAGATTATACAACTAGGGTTAACTTAAGACTTATAGAATATATACAAATACAGATACATATGTATATATTGTACTATATGTGGTAGTGGTGGCGGTGCAGGGGGTATAGAACATACACAGAAAGAAGGCAAGTAACCAAAACGGGGAGCAACAAACAAACAGAAATATTGTGGGAATTTTTTTATAGGGATATTGGATATTTGGGAGATGTATTTAACGGTGCAATTATCTAAAACTAGATATGATTATTTTTACCAAAACATTCTGTGGTACCGGAATGCGGTTGATCGTATGTGGGTTACTGTTTAGCGTAGTCACAGTGCGGCGCTGTAATTTATGGGTTTTTGGTTTCAATAATTGATTTGTTTTCAATTTGTGTTGTTCGGTTGAGTAGTATTCAATAGTTTCGATATTTTGGTAACGGTCGTGAAAGAATAACCAAAAAGAATTCGTAGTATGTAGTCACAAAAATGTAGTTACAGCATTGATGTATAAATATAAATAAATTAGTTAAATATATAATTATTATTATTCGTATACTCGTATTTAGCAAAAGCAAAGAAATTGTGAAGAAAAATAGCGATAATCAATGGATAAACAGAGAGAGAGAGCGTAGAGCGTAGAGCGAATGCTTGTAAAAGCGATCTTGTGGTCAACTACGCCTTCGAAAATGTAGTTTTGTATAAAGGAAAACCAAACAAAGGATGCAATTATTTAGTATGTATGGTAGATCTTATACACAAGTGTGTTCAATCGTATTGTAAGTTAGGTTAAGCAGCTTCCTGGCTTCACTCAGGATAAATCAAAGAGCACTTTACGACCAGTTCTCAACGAAAACATTATTACACAGCAAGAAATCAAATCAGGACGCGTCGTGGCGTTAGTTCGGATCAGGAATGGAAAATGCAAAGGAAACATAAAAGTAAAGCGCAGTAAAACAAGATATAGTAGTATGTATAAATGTATAAACTTTTGTTCCAAAAACCAAGTCAAATGTTTCAAAACTCAATCGGTGTTTTTTTTGTTTTTTTTTTTTCACAAGCTAAGTACCATCAAAATATAAATAATACAGATTGTTCTTTCATTTTTTTTGTTGTTTTTTTTTTCTCTTTTGGTTTTCTTTGATTGTGGTTAGCATATTAGTTTGAAAAAGTTTTATTACATTTAATATGGCGGCTGGCTGAGCGGCTGGAACTTCAGTGACCGGTTTGGCTGCCTGGAAAATTTATATATAGATATTTTTTGTTTTTCATATATATTCAGAACAAGTTAGCTCAGTTAGGTTTAGTTCAGCCTAGACTAGAGAATAATCATAGCTTAACACATATCCTAAATTGTAATTGTAATTGCTAATGGTGTTTTCTTTTTGTTTGTTTGTTTGTTTTGCTTATCAGTTAGTTGGGGTCGACTCACCTGGAAGCGTAGATTCGGATCAGCGGATGCAGCGGCTGCTAGGAAGGGATCATAGTATACACTGCGGTTGGGTGGATAAGAGAAGGTGAGAAAAGTCATGGATTAATACACGAGTATGACGGCCACTAGAAGTTCATTGGATGGGTTCATTTGGTGAGGGTGCAAACGACGAGAGGCAATCCTCTTGGGCTCGCCTCTCAGTCGTTCTTTTTTTCAGGCACTTAAAGGCAAAATTCAAAAATTTTCTTCATTTGTTTGTTTTTTATATATTTTTTTTTAGTTTGGTTCAATTGTTTGTTTTCGTGTTGTTTTTTTTTTTTTAACGCACTTGTGTGGGTTTATGTTTTTTGGACGCTATGAGAGAACAGATGGGATAAAGTTTTCAATTTAAATTCAATGAAAACTTTATCCACATTCTGTTTGGTTTGTCTTTTGTTTTTGTTTTGATTAATTGTTGTTGTTTTTGTTGTTGGTACCGGATGCTGTGGGTAAATGGCTGAAACTTAAGGCGTAACTCAAATAAAAAAGGAGTAAGTCATATACCCCGCCTAACCAAAACCTATTCACTGACACTGACTACTGCCTAGACCTGACACTCCTAAACTGATCTCAACCGATCCGATCCGATCTGATCTGAAATATCTATGCTGAGAGTCCCCGCTTGATGACAAACTGATTGGAGGAAATGTATTTTCTGTTTGATAGATTGAAGAGAACGAAAGGAAAATTATAAGGTACATACATATGTATAGTGGTTTATATATAGAGAGAGTACTAGCAAAAGATAACCAACCAACCACATACATAGGTCATTCCATTTCCCAAAACTACATACTTAAAATTTCTTGCTTGCTTTTAATTTTGCTTTTGATTTTAAGACAGAACAGACATGTCATGCACCTATCTAATTAATTTTGCTAGATCGCATATGTTGTTTGTTGGAAGTGGGGCTCGGGCTTGGGGATTAGATGTGCGTGTGTGTATGTGTGTGTTTGTATACATACATATGTACTTAATGGGGCATTCATTCATACGCTATCGTGTGTATGTATTCGGGTGTATGTGTGGGTGGGGTGTGTGACAGTGTTTGGTGTGAGGTGTAAAGCGCAGCCACAAAAGAATAGGTAAATGTTCTATATCTATATGTATATGTATAGGTATATGGGATATATTTTGTTGGTTTATTATGTGTGTGTGGGGGGGGGGTAGGTAAGGGGAGGGCAAGGAACATGCACGCAAGGCTCTGGCAGAGCGCCACACTTTCAAGTCAAATTCAAATGGAAATTCATCATACGCCTAGTGGTACACAATATACACAATCAAGTAGGTCCCTTAACCAAAAATTAAATAATAAAACGATGCCAAAAACACACTGCCCTCAGTCAAAATATGAGCATATAGAGTAGTACGAGTATGTGGATATATAGGTGTGTATATATATGTACATATATACGAGTAGATGTTTAGAGGGGGGTTGGGTTATGGCTAGTTTGTGGTTTATGTTTTTGTTTTTCTTTTTTGGTGGGTAGCGTGCGTTTATTATTGATTGCTGCTTTTGCAATTTTGTATTCTGTTTGGATTCGGTATCTAGTATGTTCTTGCTGAGATTTTAATTGTACAAGTAATCAAACTATATGGTAGATTTCTTTATATGCGAGATTAAAACTTTACACACACACAAGATAGCTAAAAAAAAATAACACTTGTCACCAAGATGATTAACAGAGATTAGAGAGAGAGAAATACTTAGAAAGATAGATAGAGAGAGAGAGAGAGAGAGAGTGACTCGGACACAAAAACAATCTTTAAGCTATAAACAATTGCAGCTCGGATGTAAATTATAACAAATGGATATGGTACTTTCGTAGCATGATCAACCCGAGGGTTAAACAATAAAAAGAAGAACATAAAAAAACATAATAATATTATTTATGTATAGATCAAGTGCGCTAGGACTACATTCAAAGATTTGGCAAAAAGGTATCGAAATCAAAGAAAATACAAAAGTTACAGCTACAGCAAAAATAACTACTTGGTCGGTGTGTGGTCGCTGCACCGACGGAGGCGCCACCACGGAGGACTCTACTTACGGCGCAAATCCATGCAAAGCGGCAGCATTGTTGGCCGCATTGGCCGACGCTGCCATGGAAGCAGCAGCCGCAGCAGCAGCGGCCGGCGTCTGTTGAGCAGTGGCCGCCGACAGGCGGGCGGCATAGGCGGCCGCGGCAGCAGCACTCGCATTGGTGGCGACTCCTCCCTGATTCTGCGCAGCCGCAGCAGCCGCCAGTGACTGTTGCAGCGCCGAGTGCTGTTGGGCGACGGCAGCGGCATTGGCTCCAGCATTGGGCACGGCCACTGCCTGGAGTGTCGGCTGCAGTCCGGCGAGCGCGTGGGCGTGGGCATGGGCATGGGCATGCGGATGCGAGGCGGCTACGGCGGCGGCGGCTGCGGCATGCTGTTGTTGCTGCTGTTGTTGTTGCTGCTGCTGCTGCTGTTGCTGGTGGTGCGCGGCCTGCTGTTGCTGCTGGTGGTGGACCTGCTGCTGCTGTTGTTGCTGCTGCTGTTGCTGGTGCTGGTGGACCTGCTGCTGCTGTTGGGCAGCTGCTGCGGCCACGGCGGCGGCGGCCACCTGGCGTTGCTGCTGGTGCTGTTGGGCGGCAGCGGCGGAGGCCGCCAGCAACGCTTGATGGTGGTGCGGATGATGGGGATGATGGTAGGGTGTGGCACCGACCACGCCCACATGTCCACGTTGAATGGCCACTCCACGCATGGCAGCGGCTACGGCGGCTGTGAGGCGTAACGAGGATGGGGGTATTTTTTTTTTGTTTTTTTTTTTGCGATAGTTTTTGGTTTATTTTTTTGTTTGTTTGTTTTTTTTTTGCAACGATTTCACACAACATTTTTGACCAGTGTAGGCGTGTGTGTGTGTGTGTTTTTGTGTGTATATGTGGTTCGTATGTATGTGTTGGGTGTATTTGTGTGTGTGTGTGTGTTTGTGTTCGTGTGCAAAAAGTAGAAAAAAGGAAAAGAAAAGAACATAAAACGCATGCGGTTAGTTTTCTCTCTTTTTGATATAAGTAAATATGTATATATAGGTATATTATATAGAATATATATGTAGTATATATTTTGCAAGTTTCTAGGCATTATGTAGTAACGGTTTTTATTTATATAGTATATATGTATATATATATAGATAGCGCTGAGATGATATTGGTATATACATATAACAATACATAAGACAATACATACGTGTAGTTTTCATACATATGTAAATGGGTTTTATTCGAAAAATACTTAACATTAGAACACACTCAATTACCAAGAAATGCTACGCAGTTGCATCTTAATTGCATATTCAGATATAAATAATATATGCATGTATATATATATATAGAGACATTATCATCAACAGTACGAAAAAACATTGGACCGATCTTTAGTACAGTGGTATTAGGCATACATATGTACATATGTATGTATGTATGTACATTCATATGCAGCAAGACCTTTATATTTTGTGGCAACAACTGATTGCAATGTGTGTGGGGTGGGAGGTTAGAAATGGTCGAGCGTACAAAGCATATAGAATATACAGAACTAAAATATACAATTTTATTTAACCCTTGTACCTTTCAAATATGTTTAAAGCTAGCAAAAACATTTACTAAAAGATGAAAAGATAAAGATGATAGTTGGGAATCGATTTATAGCAGTTTATGGCAGATGAGAGAGTAAGAAAGAAAGGGTGAAGCATACGAAGGGGGAATTAAAACGGAGTTTCGTTTTAGGAAAAACTCTGTGGATCAATACGAAAGTACATTATTCCCAACTATAACAAATGAACCTCTTTCAAATTGGAAATCCGTCCACAAAAGCCACATTTTTTAATATTATGCATTAAATAATTCCACGCGGTTTTCTCACTCAATTTGTAATAATTGCATTTATGCCCCATAATTAATAATTTCCCATGCGACAGTCCCCACAAGAGCTCTGACCGCTAACCATAAAGGGTGGCTGGGGCTGGGGCTGGCGGCTCCATGGTCGTCACTCTCAGCCACAGGTATGGATGGGGTGGGGCTGGGGCCCATGCTGGGCAAGTGCTGTTTTGATTGCAAATCACAGCACAAAACATAATTGAGATTTGTATGAAAACGGAGAAATATATAATCCTTTTTTTGTGGCATGATGTATACTATGTGCAGCATTTAGCCGCAAATTGAAAATTTTTGTTTGGACAGGGTGCAATTAAAAATTCGATTTGCCATATTTGTATGCAAATTATTAGCCAAAAGCGAAAATAGTGTGTGCCCGCACTAGGACTGGGGGCCACACAATTTCGGGACAACAATTTGGATCAAATTGAAAGTGAGAAATGTTGCCAACATTCTATGTTAATTTCTGTGGCAAACGAAATGCATTGGAAACGAAATAATTAAAAGGAATAAACAGATATCTCTGAGAGGTGGTGGGTGGTGGGTGGGGTGTAACATGCAGAGAATTTAAATTTGAATTTTCATTCGATTTTCTTTCAAATGGGGTGGTTTTATTTGGCAAATTGAATTCGTTTTTCTTTTAATTTGTTCCGGCTAAAGCGAAGTTTAAACACACAAAAACAAATTGAAAATCGTGCAAACTGCAAATATAACATAAAAACAGACACAGTAGTAGATGATAGATAGCTAGAAAAAGTACAAAGAGAGAGAGAGAGAGCGATAGAGAGAGTATGGGTTGCTAGAAAGTGATGCTCTAAGAGAAAAGGCCTTACGGAAAATGCTGCGCGGCAAAATATTCGCTACCGAATATGCGATTTACGTTTATATGTATAGTACATTATATGTATGTATGTAGACTATGGTTAAAGCTAAGACCTTCTTCCACATACTTAACGGCTAGAGTTACGGTTACGAGTACAGTAGTTTCGGGTGGAGTGGATGTGGTTGCCACTAGTTGGATTATCGATTCATACGCGGTGGTGTTACTCAATGTATCTGCGAGTGTGTGTGTGTGTAAGTGTACTAAGTGGTATACTGGTATACTGGTTTACTGGTGTGTCTTTGTGTGTGCCTAGACGTTTGGAACAATGCAATCTCAAGGGCGCCAAAAGGTATGCAATATTTATATAGTAGATATATCAGATAGTTCAAACAGTAGTCAAACCCAAATGCGTAAACCAAATTAACAAGACAACAAACATTTATACGGTATTTACGGTACAGTATCATATGGTACAGAGATTCTCATAGCTAAAGAGTTGGTGATCTTGTTGTTGGGTTTCGATTACGGTTACGGTTTCTGATTGTTGTTGCAGTCTTTTATCAATCTCGATTCAATCAGTCAATCATTAATGTTTTTTTGAATTCTGCTTTTTGGCCTGCTTCACGCCTTCACCAAAGACCCATAACTTTTCTCAGATTCGATCATATACTTGTGCTCGTAGTACCTCCGCCGAGGCGCTGTTGCTGTCGCCGCTGCGTTGGACATGGCACTATGCGGTGGGCGTGTCGTTAGCATAATGGGTGTGGCAGCTGCTGCGGCAGCTGCAGCAGCAGCGGCCGCTGCCGATGCCTGCGTTGCCACTGGGCCCGCTGGTGCCGCTTGGGCCACGGGCATGGACATGGACACGGGCAGTGGCATGGGGGTCAACGTGGGCGCTCCAGCGCCGACGGGTGGACCCAGGAAGGGCCAGGCGGCTGCCACCGGAAGTCGATATCCTGGGTTTTCATATGTATACATTTTTTTATTGATCAATTTTTGTCACCATTTTAAATGGATGGGGGGATGGATGAGTGTGTGATTCGTGTGTTGTTGGTGTGTGTTTTCTTTTTTAGATATACGAGTATACATATATATACATATTCAAGTGGATGCAGTGGGAGGCGAGGCGGTTCTGTAGATGATATTGCAATTTTTGTTGTTGTTGCTGTTGTTGTTGCTTTTGCTTTTGGCTTAGTTCTAGTGCTAGTCGTCTGATTTGGATCTTTGGCTCGCGACGAGAGTTACCAGATAGGTTACCATGAACGAGTTAACGAGTTACGAGTTACGAGTACGAGTACGAGTATGAATACGAGTAGTTACGTAGCTAAGGAGCATTTTCAGACATGTTCAGACCAAAGGAAAGTAATACCAATAACGAACTCAGGACAACAAACAATAGGCAACAATAAATAAACTATAATAAAGAACATACAATACAACGGAACTGATTGTTAAGAAAGGAGAGAGAGTGTCAGAACCGAAACAAATATAAGAATATATATTTATAGGCAAAAAGTAGTTGTTGTATATAATAGATATATAAGGTTTATATAGTAGTAGTATGCATAAGACAACACAGCCGCAAATAGTATGCTAAACTCATAACCATCATTTCGAATGATCGCAAGATCATCGCAGTCATCAATCAATCATTAATCAGTAATCATTAATCATCAATCAGTAATCATTAATCATTTATCATCAATCAATTAATCAATTATCATTATCAAGACTAGAAAGAAAATGGCGAGGCCGAGGCGACTGCTTTTCATAACGGGATTGTTTGTTGTCGAGCGGGGGGTGTTGGTGGGTTAATGTGTCTGTATATACGATTTTTATATTGAAATTTAATTCTTCTTCTTCTGCTTCATTTCAGTTGCGAACTTTTGTGGTTTGGTTATATGTATGCAGACGAAAAAATATAATCAAAACAATGATAAGGAAAGGAAAAACCAAAATATACAGTATATAACAGTTACCAAAAAACAGTTATCAAATATGTATGTATGTACGTTGCAGCATTATATTTATATATTGGATTGGATTGGATTGTATGCATTCGTTTATAGTAGTTTATAGATTAATGCAATTTCATTTCCGTCGGGACCTACCACAAAACAAAACGAGACCAAAAACAAAACGAAAGCGAATGTACATATGTCTCTATAGAAAAATGTAACAGAAATATAGTAATGCTGCGCTCCCGGCTCAATGAACATAAATCAGACTCATGTATGTATGCAAAACGAATGTCTTTGAACCTCGATCCTCCTACCGACCGTATTATGAGTATTATTATAATCATTATTTTTTGTCCTGCCCTAACCATCCATTCCGTTTTTGGGCTTACAAGCTAGAAAATGTCTCGGTAAATCTCTTAAATATATGTATATGTATATATTTATATTTTAGGGTAGAAACAAAAACTTGATAAATTATTGTACATATAATCTCGTATGATAACTTATTGTTCTCAGTGTTTAATTGTGTGTATTATTTTAGAATTTACAACAAAAGTACGGCAGGCAATAAATACGTAATTGTAGTAGTAATAAAACATCAAATGTATGGAATGGAAAAACGTTGACAAATCTCTTACCTTCTGGCCATTGTACGCAGACTGCACGCACACATCCGGACAAAATGTTTATATTTATTTGATAAACATGTTTTTTATTCGTGTGGGGTGGAAAAGGCATGGAAAAGACAAAAATAATTTCATTAGTTTTGCGTATTTAAATTGAGATTTTATTGCATTCATTTGGTTTTCTTTTTTAAATGTTTTGTTTCTGTTTTAAATAATTATACAATATACATATTTAGGATACATGTCTTATGGCACACACAAAAAACAAAAACAGGCAGCTCTATGGTACAGCTTGATTATATGTACATACAATACACAGATACGTTTCTAATTGATTTGTGGTTCATGATTCTGATGGTATTTTCTGGGGCATGCAGCATCTCTCACAATGGGGCTTTGCAAAACATTCAACAAAATAGAAAATCAGCAAATGGCAAATGGCAAACGGATGCGTTTTCCCTTCCTTTGGCAATCGAATGCCTCGCTGGGCACACAATGAGCTTCTGTCTGCTCACAGGGCGGTGGGGGGCTATGCAAACTGACAGGAGTTTGTGCTGCCATTGCCGAGAAAAATGGTAAAATAAATACCCAAAAATGCAGTAAAAGACATGTACGTCAGACAGTAGTACTAGAGACAGACACTTGCTTCTGGATGGGTGCAGAAAGTACGGGGAGGGGGAAAAGTCTTGGGCGACATAAAGGCGCATTAAGTTTAACATGTCAAAGGATCAACGTAAAAAATAACACATACATACATACATAGATATAGACAGACGTATACGCAGACACCAAGAAAGTTACAAAGACAAGAAAGAGTCAGCAGTTGGGTGGCAAATCAGCATATACATAGACAGTGAAAACTTTCTTCCGCAAGGCAGCGGCACATTTGCATAAGACATACTATAACACAACACATCGAGCGAAATAAAACGTTTCTGCGGCATGCCCCAGGGTGCTGCTGCCTCTGGCAACTGGCAACTGGCAAACCAGCAAAACATTTCGTTTTTCGTTATCTTTTTTGTGGCTGTTGTTGTTGTAGTAGGAAATGTGGTGTGTGTGAGTGTGCAACATGTTTTGCAACTTTGTGGTTTATTTGTAATTATCCCTGACTACCGCTTGACTGACTGACTGACTGACTGACTGACTGACTGACTGTCTGTCAGATGGATCCTGCTCCTGCCTGACTGCCAGTTTGATCCCTCTTCTGCCTGACTGCCACCCTAACGAGCAGGACAACGACGTGAGTCCTCCTACTCCTCCGGCTCTGACTCCGGCTCCGCCTCTGGGTAATAATGTTGCAAGCGATTTGCCATGCAAAAGAAGCCGAAAGAAGTTCGAAACGTGATAAAGTGACTGCCAGGCCATGGGAAAATGCAGCTCCGTCTCTAATATTCTGCCAGGGCAGGGCCTTTACCGAGCTTTTCTCTAAATAGAATACTTCCCCTCCACCACAGCAAGCTCCTCTGGGAGACCTCCAGCATTTAGTGCAACGCAAATGAAGCGCATTAGGTGCACGTGCACACAGATCCCAAGCAAAGAAGCTGTTGTCCGTACTCAGGAGTATGGGGATGGGGATGTGGCATTGAAAAGGGCAGACAGTCTGTGGCCATTGCTGCCTCAGTCTCCGAACCTCAATCATATTGGCCTTTTTGCTTCCAAGTCCAAGTTTTGTTGGCAATACAAAAGCATTTTGCATCAGCAGAAGGATAACCGACCACTGGGAAGCCACGTCTGATGCTGCTGCTGGTGCTGCTGCTGCTGCTGGTCCTGCCAACGCTTTGAGCCGCTTTACCAGAAGGGAGAGAGATCCCTCTTTCGACATCCGTATCCCAATCCTGTGCCCCGGTTTCAGCTCAGTTCAGTTCAGTTTTGGTTCGGTTCGGTTTGGTTTTGCTTGGTTTTGTTTGGTTTGTAAGCGGCTTATCGTATTGAGCGAACCCGAACCCGAACGAAAGTATAGATTGTGCTCTGTGAATACTTTTTAATGGCAAACAGAGTGGAGACGATTTAATCAGCAGTATTATTTATTATTATACATTGCATGGAAAAACTTTTCTTGGTCTCATCCACCACTCCACTCCCTCTGCTCACTGCTCACTGGTCTCTTCCCTCTTTTTTTGTAGATATTTGTTAAGAAAGGAAAGAAGAAACTTTTGTGCTGCCACAAGTTACACAGAAATTCAGTGCTAAACTGCAAAATGGTACATGAAATATCTAAGAACTTCTAGCTGAATTAACTTTAAGAGCGAAATTGGTAATACATTTGCAAAAGGAAGAAATCAATGCAGAAAGAGGACAACAAGTAAGGGAAATGGCCAAACAATCTAAGGGATTTAAAGGAATTCCAATAGAACGATGTAAAAAGAGATGAGTCAATAGGAAGATAATTTAGATAATTTTTACAAAATATTCCAAGTTTCTTCAAAGAAAATTGGTTTCATTTAAAGTTTTCTACAGATAGCAAGAGACGGAAGGGTGTGGATGGAGGATAGGGTGTACCAACTACCTTGGAGGATCGATAAGATATTCGAAGTGTTAATCAGCTACTATATATTGCCATTATCCATCAGCTGAATGCCAATGATGAGCTAAAGAAAACTATACAAGACCTTAAAGACCTGTTTTCTGTCCTACTTTCTCCATTTAATTTGCAGAACACAGATTACAGTTTGGTTTTGGAACATGCTGGGACTGGTACGATGGGCTTAAGCATTTATGTATATTGTAGATTATATGTATCATTTTTGTGGTGGACGTGGACAGGGAATAGAATTTAAATTTTGATTTCATTCAGCCAATAGATTGGGGTGGGGTTGGAAGAGTGGGCGACAGTTAACGTGCAACATGCCAAGATGTTTTGCTCATCGTTATTTTGAGTGTCTTTTAAGAATGGATGTGGGAGGGTTGGAATACATATATGCATATTTTGGGGGGGCAGGCAACGGTACAGCACAGGCATTTTCAACTTAGTTTACTTTTTGGTATTTCTATTGTTTATTTATTTTTTTTTTGCAGTCTCACACACGTTAAAAAAACAAAAACATCACGAAGATATTTTGTTTGCATATTCTTCATATTGGTTTTTGTTTTTTTTTTATTTGGGTGAGTTTTTGGGTTTGTTTGGGTCTGGCTCACCTAGAGCTGGGGCCGGCATGGCACCATCTTTGGTCAGTACAACTGTGTGGGGTGTTTGAGAGAGAACGAAATGATAAAATATACATAAGTAATTCTTGTCAATCATCATTATCATCATCATCATCAGATCATTATCAAAGTAGTCAAAGCAGACGCATTAAACATAACTTAATCGAAACCACAAATATGTACACATTAAATTAATTTATTATTAAATATTATTTGTATTGTGTTTGAGTGTGCTTTTTTTTTGTTTTTGTTTTGGTTAAGCAGCCGCAACCCCAAAATAAAGAAAACAAATTGCACAAGAAGCAGTCAAAGTCAAATATTGAATGGTTTCCAACAGGTTAGTGGCACAATTTCGTGTTAACAAGTTTTTATTGTTTGATTGCCTCCAGCCCCCGGCATACTCGATTAACAAACAAACGTGTGAAATTTTCTAGCGTGTGCTGCCCCACAAAAAAAACAAAATAGGGGAGGCGGCGGGTGGTGAAACGTTGCATTTTCATTAGGAACACACACACATTCTCGTTGGCAACTCAATTTCTCAGTTGCAGTTAGTTTCAGTTTTTGGCCACCAAAGAAGTTGATGTGAAAAGTTCCAAGGCAAACAAACAACAAAGTATATGAAAAAACAACTAAAACTAAAACTAAGGGAATGTTAAGAAAGCAGCCAGTAATAGTTGGGAGTAGTAGGAGCAGCCGAAGCAGAAGCAACACCAGCACCAGCACCAGCAGGAGCAACAATGGACCCTTAAGTACTGGCCAAACGGGGCAGCAGCTACTTTTTTAAGGATGTTTGTGGTACGTGTGTTAGCAGCAAAGAGAAAACCCTGCTGTAGAAGCCTCAGCTTTTGGTTAAACGAAAAGTTTCATCACTGTTTCAGTGTGCACTCAATCGAGTATCCTCCTGGGAGGACTCAAAATCCAATGAAAACGAAACATCGGGTTTCATGAAAAGTATTCAAAATAAAACAAGTACAACAGTTTCATCAGGTTATTGATCGTGAAAGCTGGAGAAGAATTCCAGTTTTGAACTTTCGAAAAAGAAGGCTATGGGACGAATGTATCGCAAAGATACGGGAATACGTTTAGACAGTACTTAAAATGGATTTCATTTTCTAGGGCATAGCTATCGTTGCTGCTGATGTTGCTGCAGCTCCTTGGGCTCTTGTTCTTGTTCTTTCTGTGGCTGTTGCATTTCAACGTAATTGCATTTCTTTGCTGAACATTTAAACTGGTTTCGTTACGTGGCTTAAACCTAGCTTCCATGTTTCAATGTGTGTGTGTGTGTGTGTGTGATATCTATGAGTGTGAGTGTATCTGTGAGTGTGTGCATGTGTTAGGATCACTTACCGTTGGGTACTGCTGTCACTTTTTTGGTTTGTACACGTGCAGTGGCGTTATTCACCTTCACAATTGGTTATTTTTGGTATTGTTTGTTTTTTATTTATTTTTTATTTTTGGTTTTAACGAGCGATCAGCGAGCGGTGGTGGTTGTTGTTGTTGTAGTTGTTGGTTTTGGTGATGAGTTTAAATATAAATATATTTTTTTTTAATTTTATATATCATATACACACGAAAAGGTATGTATATCGATATATATAGAGAGAGATCGCATGTATATAGAGAATGTAGAAATAAATTATGTGTTAGTTAACAATTACAACAAAAATCTTTGCAAATTGTGTGTTTAAGTGTTTTTGGTGTTGGGAAATGTGTATGTGTGTGTGTGTGTGTGTGTGTGTCAGAAATTTCTTGGTTATAGATTCTAAAAAATTCAGAAACCTATATTTAACATTTTCGATTTGCCTTAAAAATTTATTAAAGTTAAAGTTTCAAATACTGATTATTTATCTACATATTTACTTTATTTTCCTAAATTTTAAATGTTGTTCCTTCTTTTTGGGCTAGAAATCATCCATTAGAAAAACAAAAAGTACAACGGATTGGCCATGTTTCCCCCAGTAAATCGTATATGGCTTTCAAACGTTTATAAATTCAATACAATTTGTATAATTATTTCGATTTCATTTATGCTTGATTAATATATACTTTTTGGAATTAATTTTCGTGGGCTTTTAGCGAAACGGACATCCGTTTCCGGCTGGACATTGTATGGCAATGTGGACCCAGAGCCTTAATTAGACTCGTGCGATTGCCGCAGGCATTTGGCGAGCATAAAACCAAGTGGAAAATGGAAAATAACAGCACAGCATAGCCTTTTGTGCGGCTCAGTTAATTTGTTTAACCAACCAGCAACCCAAAGAGGGACGTAGACAGACGGACAGTCTGCCAAATACACGTACATTTCTCTGTGCACTTTGTGCATTTTCAGCATATTTTAAATGCCAATTATTTGCGGCTCTCCATTTAACATTAATCAGAATAAAAAATAAAAAGAGGGAACAACAAGCACAAAGAGGCGTGTGGAAATTGTAATTAATTTTTAATGAAAGGCAAATAAGAAACCCAATCCCAATCCTGAACACAATTTAAAAATCAATCACGGGCAAGACCCCACAAAATCGTGCTGACAATGCGTGAGGCGATCCTTGAATTAAATGAACAACAATTATGGGTGGTGGCGCGCACATTTAATTTAAAGCCATCTCATTGGAGGGACACGCAAGGATTACAAGTTGAAAAGCAATTTCTTTCTGCTACTTTTGTGATACGATAGTTTCTGTGAAATTAGTGGTGGATTTTTTTTCCTTTCTTTTTTGTGGGGGATGTGTTTAGGAGTGTGTGTCTGTGTGTGTGTGTGTGTGTGTGTGAAGGTATATGGATATGGTATATGGCATGCACCCACCTCGATTTTGCGTCCCTCAACCACGGTGCCGTGTAGACGTTCGCGTGCTCGTTCTGCTTCGTTGCTGTTAGCGAATGTTACAAAACCGAATCCCTGCCATTCGCAATCAAACATGCAATTAAAGAAACATATAGAGTATATAGATTACGATTTCCAAAAACTAAAAACTAAAAAAAAATATATATATAACATTTTCTTATAAATAATCCAAACAACATGGTTCTCTGGGGGGGAGGTTTTTTTTATATATTTATTTTGTAGATGTAGTCGTTTTCAAAAAGCTATTGCTACAAAAAATACATCAACAAGGCAGGTCAGGGCGGGGCATGGGTCGTGGGGGTTGGAGCGGCCAAGGACATGCTTCGGACCGGGGCCATTGGCACATTTCTCTTATATATCTGAAGGATGGATAGTGGGTCTCTCGGGGATGGATGAGGGGGGGGAATTTAGACTGCGACTGCGACATGCACGTGCCCTACACTTTGCGCTCTGTCTTCGCTCCCATGGCTCAGATCTTCCCTTAGCCTTAGCCTTAGCCTCAGCTTTGGCCTCTCTGCTCTCACCTCCTCAAGGTGTTGGCACGCCTTAAATTATGCACCATTCCTGGTGCCATGGTAACTATGCAATTATTTTTGCCAGGCTCCATAATAATGTTAAATAAAAAAAAACAAGGACAGCTACAAGAGGCACAGGAAGAAGCCAGGAGCCAGGAACACGGTTCTGGTTGCCAAGGCAACGACGGACAAAAAATCTCCCGGGAATACCTGGAGTGCATAATTTAAATGAATTGTGCGACAATTAGATGCAAAATGTCCCACGCAATTGGCGGCAGGCAGAGAGAGAGACAGAGAGAGCACAGCTACAAAGGAAGACGGAAGAAGAGGAGCCTTGGCGCCTATGGAAATATAAAAGTGCCACAGGACTTACCTTGCTGCCGCGCTCATTGAATATGATTTCCACATCGAGAATGGTTCCAAATTGCTGCAGGGGGAAACGAACAAAATGAATAGAATTTAATTTCATGTTATCCCTGAGGATTCCCGCACTCACCCCAAACATGGCACGCAGATCGGGATCCCGGAAGCGGAACGGTATGTTGGAGACATGCAGCCGCTTGGGCTGACTTTTGGCATCCATGGAGGCGGCAACGGCCTGTGCGACCGTCGGCAGCGCCTGTGCGGGGACTAGAGCACTGGTCAGACTTGTGACCACATTCGGCGACTGCACGGAGGCGGTCATGATGCCGCTGGCTGCTGCCGCTGCAGCATTCAGATGGGCAATCACTTGCGAGGTACTCGCTGGCACCACCATCGCCCCACCATTGGCAATGCTGGCCATGCTGTCCAGGCCGGCGGTGGGCAAGAGACCGACACCCACACCACTGCTGCTGGTGGCAGCCAGTGCGCCGGCGGCTATCGAACTGGCCGTGACGGATGTGGCCGCTGCCATCGATGTGGGACTGCTGCACAGGAGCGGCATTTGCTGCTGCTGCTGCTGCTGTTGCTGTTGTTGCTGCTGTTGCATGGCGGGCGGCGTCTGGAGCAGCGGTTCGCCGCTGGCTATCGGCGATGTGTTGCCCGACATGCTGCTATCTGTGGCACTTCCATTGAATGTTGCGGCTGCTACTGCGGCGACTGTGGCTTGCGATGCTGTGACGCTGGACGGGGAGCTGCAGAGCGGGGAGCCAGGCGGTCCACCGCCACCACCGCCGCCTGTACCACCGCCTCCTGTGCCAACAATCGAGTGGGCTGAGCTCTGTTGGGAATCAGCAGCCTCATTGGCAATCAATACTGTGGACTGGAAACGGAAAGGAAGCACACGTTAGTTAAATAATAAATTAGTTTAGTTCGCTTAACCCTAGAAATAGTCTGGCTGTATGTACAGCACATATCTGCGCAGTTTCCCCCTTTTAATGCCCCCAAATATCGTTTTTCAAGAGGTGAAATATTATTGAATACGATATTTGGGGCAACTTCTGTTGTTGGCATTTTTGGATGGTTGTGTGTTTCAGTGTACTCCATGGCAAATCGAATGCGAACAAGTGCCGCAATAAATAAACAATTGAAATGAAAATACCATTTTCAAGTGGTTTACATCAGAGGGAAAAGGGATGCTCTGCCCCGCCCTGCCCACGCATCTGTGTGTGACCCAATAAAAAAGTTACTGTTGGAAAAGCGGGGAAAACGAGCGCACAGGAACACAGACAGGAACACCGAACAGGAGCAGGAGCAGGAAACCAATACAAACATACTCCCACACACATACACACACACACGGGGGCGAGTACACATTTTGTGGCACAAACTTGTGTTGACTTATGCAATAAAACTGTCGCGCAAACTGTTGCAATATACCCCCAATCCACCACAACAGCAGCAGTAGCAAAGCAAGTAGCATTCAGCCTCATGCCGCATGCCCCACAGCCCCAGGAGCAAATGCAATCCCAATCGACCCTGCGGAAATGTTTGCATTTTGTATTTTTGCATTATTAAAACTGAAAATGCACCGCCATGACAGGCTATTGTTGTTCCACAAGCCTCCGCTTCGACACAACAATTCCAGTCCATTCCACGCCATTCCCCCCGTAACGAAGCTTTGAATAATATGAAAAAATTCTCTGTTTACGCAGGAACATAAAAACATATAAATAGATAGACATATGTAGCCAGCCTTCCTCAATAGACGAAGCTTTAGATACCCTTGGTAATGGTAGTGCATGGCAGAAGGTGGTCCTCTCAGTTATGTAGCTTTAAATGCGAAAGAATCAGATAATCCTGTATGAGGGATTAATGATAGAGAACCCATGATAAAGCATGAATCAATGTTTCCTTTTCTGCCTTGCCAGCTTCTACGCAAAATCCTCATTCTCTTTACTGAAAGGGTATCAAAAGGAGAATAAGCCCCAAGCAAAGCCCCAACCAAATTCGATGACAATGCAATAAAAATGAACAGAATGAACAGCATGGGCGGTGGAATATGTGGACATAAAGAGAAAAAAAACCGATGCCACAATGGGGCATGCCATGCCCCATAATGTAGGCAATAGAAATAACGCTTAACTTAATTTGCTGCGCATTGTTGACACATAAATCTAAACAAAATTCCTGTATATAAAATACACTCTGCATTTTTTCGGGTTTGCCGGTTTGCATGTTTACCGAACATTTCGGTGCCAAAGTGAAATGGCGTGAAAAACTTTGGCCATATAAATGGCTAACGGCTGATGGGCGATGGCGGCAGGAAGGCGGAGGGGCTGTTATTGTTTCGGGTATCGGGTTACACGTAAATGACATTTAACGCTTTTTAGTTTATCGAAATGCTTTTGTGCGGCACGCGACAAATTCTGCCTGCAAAAAGGTCGCCTGCCGCTGCCTTTTGATTTGGTTTTGCCTTCGGTTTCATTTCTGCATTTCTGCATAAATTTTTAGGGTGAAACTTTTTCAAAGAAATTTGCTCTAAATTGTTTCTGATTTGAATGTTGGGGCCCTATTTGATAGGGGCAATATGTCGGTTAGAACTTTGAGTTCTTTCTGTTTGTTTTATGGGTAAATTTTTATTTTTGTAGCTAAATTACTTTTAACTTATTTAATTGGTTTGAAATTTATGGTTTTATGTGTATGTATTGTATGTAGGTTATCGGTTTTTAAGTTTAAATTTAATTTACATTAAATTTGTGTCGGACATTAGTAGCACAAAAGGCAGCTGTAGTCCTCCAGTCAATTAGTTAACCAATAAGAAGAGATCAAAATAAAGTACGAAGAAATATGCACAGTCCAGTTTGTTAATATTTTGTTTGCGTATTTGCTGACAGCGCGACTTATCACAGCCCATTGTGTCGCATTAATTGCTGTTGCTGTGAGAGAGCGATACAAGAAATTGCTGAGAGAGAGAGATGAATCAATTAAAGCTATTGCCGCGCCAGAGCAAGAGATTGAAGCAATTGCGAGCTCAGGTATTGCGGGAGAGCGGCAAAGCTCGTAGTTGACAGAGATAAGAGATCAAGAGATAAGACAATTGCGATTGCATTGCGCTGCGCTCGAGGTGAAATACAACAGAAATGTAGGAACAGCATCGAGTGTGTCATACTAGTACATATGTACATACATACAAATGTACAAGTACGAAAAGCAGTAGGAATCGGTTAACTCTGAGCAACGGAGCTACTCTCAAGACACTTAAATTGGCACCCACTGTACTAAGCTTAGCTGAAGCAATCATATCTTATAGCCAACATTATATTTATCGCAATCTTAATCTCATAAGCTCAGATCCTTCTCTAGCTATGCTTCGAAGACTGCAATTCCCCTCCCTCCCACTCACAATTAATTATAAAAAACTTAGCAAGCAAGAGAAGCCGCAATGAAAATCATAAAAAAACCCTGGCATATCCCTTAAACATCTGCTACATCTGGATCTCTGCGCAAAGTTTCGCTCTTCTCTCTGATGATGACAATGCATACAAAATGCAGTTACAAAAGAGTTCAAGTTGAGGCGGAAAAGAAGATTTTTCCCGGCCAGTCTGTTGGTCGCCTAATGAAGATGAGCACAATAAACAAAACAAAAAAAAAGACAAAAAAAAATGAAATAAAAAGTGCTGGACGGAAAACCAGCAGGAAAAACGAGTACAAGAAAACATGGAAAAAATTCAAGAAACTGGCACGTAAATTTCAATTGTGTGCTTTTCTCGTCTCTATTCCTTTTTTTTTTTTTTTTTTTTTTTTTAGTGTGCTCTTGTTTATTTTATTATAATTTTTTGTTGGTGGCTGCTTTGCCGTTGGTTTTGGGCAAAACAAAAAACTCACTATGCTGAGCACATTTTGTGGGGGCTGCGATGATTGCTGGTGGTGATGGTGATGCTGCTGTTGTTGTTGTTGTTGTTGCTGCTGCTGTTGGGGTGTTGGTGGTGCTGCTGAAGTTGTAGCTGGTGGTGATGGTGCTGCTGCTGCAGTTGCAGTTGGTCCATGGCATGTCCATTTGTCAGGGATGGCTGCGTGACCACTGAAACTGGGATTTGGCCAGGACCCGACCCGACCCGGACCAGGACCAGCGACTGTGACTGTTGAGGATGCGACACTGCTGGCTGTTCCATTGTACAGTGTCTGTGTTTGTGTTGACAGATTTGTCTGTGATAAATTTTCAGATAACAACAAGGATTTGCGTTTTAGTTGGAGATTCTTCTCCCACTCACTATATAGGGGTGTGTGTTCGTGTATGTAGGAATGTGTATGTGTGGATTAAGATAGATGCAGTGTGGAATAAGGCTATAAAAAAATACACCAGACAGGCAGACAGGCGACCAACACCAACAATTTGCTTAAATGTCTAGCTTAATTTTGCTACATCCCAAACTGCATTTACAAGTTGCTTAATTGCTTGGAACATGCCTAAAATACGTTTACATTTAGCATATTACATATGTTTGCATATAGAGATTATATTTATAGTTATATATTTTGTATATAAAAGTATAATGAATCATGACAAAATGCAAAATGAATATACAACCAAGTCGGCGGTGAGTCTTATACTAAGTATTCAAGTATTAAGTATATCTTGAAGTACTATTTATAACGTTTCTCCAGTGATTTCAGGGTTATACATAATTTTAGGGAATAATTTGGCAAAACCATATTTAAAAAAGAAAAAACATTCAGATATTAAGTAGACATTCCCAAGCACCAGGTTCACCCAGAGACATATTATTTAAGGTAACAATATACGGAAGTATACGATCTACTATATCGTCATCAATAGCTGCAAGGGTATCAAGTAATTTGCGTCCCAAAAACCCGCCCTTCCTTTCATCTAATAAGGTTCCCATTTCTTTTCATTGCTTCAAAATGTCCGCCCATTGAATATTGGCATTCTTTAATAGATTCAAATTTATTTTGTAATTAAATAAAAGAATAAATCCCATTTCAGGAAATCATAAACATATTTATTAATTGAATTAAAAAAAGAAAACTCCCTCAAATGGCATAGCTTTTTGCAGGCAGAATTTTTTCCATCCAACCAACGTTGGGCTTTTGTTTTGTCGTGTGTGTATAATTTTCCCATTCTTGTTAAACAACAATATTGTATTTATTGGAATGTTCGGTAAATACTCCCCACAGGGGCAAACAAACAACAATGAAGCCATTCAAAATGTCAGACCCCAAGTTGTACGTATTGTTCCAGGTATAGAAATACATTATACTATAAATGTATGTTTATGATATTTAATTAAATGCACACTACATATTGTACAACATTAATTTAACAGCAAAAAATTACAACAAAGAGAAGGCAAACATGAGCATTTATTGCAATTAATTAAATATTTGCTTAATTTATTACACCAGCAACGCACACAAATTTCTCTGACAAACTAAATGCAAACAACCTCAGTGATACATACGTACATATGTATGTATGTACTTACTGTTTGTATGTGTATATGTGTATGCATTGTTAAAAAACTGAAAGCAAACCTAATGCTCTCTCATCTGTTAAATAATTCAAATGCACGAATCAATTTCCATAAACAAATATCCCTGGGGTCAACAAAATCAAACAAAATTTTTGTGCGAGTTTTGTACGGTTTATTCGGAAAAATTGTGCTGCACACCCACCCCATTCCCAACTGCACAGTGCACCTGCAAACAAATGTTTGCCAAATATTTTCAATAGTGAAAATATTTTAATATATAAATATTTGAGATGCAAAAATTCGGAAATTCTAGAGAATGCAACTGATTTTGGTGGGGAGGAAAATGTTTCATGTTGCATTTTGTGTGATGGTAAAATTTTAATTAGAACAGAAAGAAACAATAAACTACAAAGCAGCACACACACACTCACACACACAATAGTGGAGTAGATGCGTGTCCTCGGGCCAAATGAAAAAAAAATAAGAGCAATCGCAGTGCCATCTAAAAGTATGCTACAAAAAAAAAACACACACACAAGAAAACTAACAACAGTGATGGCTCGAATATTATAGCGACCTGCTCTTCCGTTCACAGGGGATTCCGGGACCGTTTTTTTGCATTTTGAGGCTGTTGGAAACGACTTCAAAACCATTTATATCTGTATATATATATATTATTAATCCTTTCTAATTTTTGGTAGGTACTCGTACCTAAATGAATAAAGGACTTAGATTTAGTTTTCTAGGATCTAGTAAAATCACTACCAAAAGGTTTTCAACTACTGTTAATGTTCTAAAAGCTGCAACAGCAGGCACATTTAATTGCTTCTAATTTCAGAGTGGAGTGGGTGGGTCTAGTGCTAGTTCTGTAATTTCTTCAAATCTATAATTTGTGACATTTCCAATTGCCGAGCCAGCACTGTTATCTATGGATGGGGGGATACTCTAGTTTTGTATGCGTGTGTGTGTGTGGCTACGGCCATCTGTGTGAGTGTTTACTGCCGTTAGCGTTTTACTCTTTTGCTGTTGCTCGGACACGCATGCAATTAAAAATGTAAAAGCAGCAGAACGGCCACAACATCACTGGCAACAGCAATAAAAAAAAAAAAACAAAAAAAAAATAGATTGTTGCAATAAGAACAAACACGGCCTACTGGTCATGTATGTACATGTGTATCTGTATGTGTGCATCAATTTGTGTGGATGTGGTGTGTGTGTGTGTAAAACCAAATCAAAGCATCAGCAAAAACCAAAGAGAACCAAAACCAAACTAAAGGTGGAGCCAAAACCAAAACACACACATCTACAATTGCATACCAAAAGCATACACACACACACACATATACAAAAACAAACACAGATAGGTGAGGGGTTGGGGGGGGGAGGTGGTGAATAGGTACACAAAGATAGAAATGTGGCTGGATGGGGTTACACTCACCTTTGTCTGTTGCATATACAACGGTGCACATTCGGACACACTCGTGACCACCACTGATGCCGATGCAGCACCATTGGCCGTGGCATATTCTGTTGCAACTCCTCCGACAGCTCCTGGCGCTGCCGCTCCTGCTGCTGCTGATGCAACTGTGTTCCCGGTGGCAGCTCCTCCTGGCTCGCCGGCCGCCTTTAACTGGGTCACTGGTTCAGCCTGCTGTTTGGCTGCTGCAGCTGCCACAGCCAGGGACAAACTGTCGGCGGCTGTGGCAGCAGCGCCAGCCTGTTGGGCAGCGGCCGCAGCAGCTCCTGCTTGCTGGGCAGCGGCTGCTGCTGCCGCGGCCGCTGCTGCTGGCCCTGGAGCGGCGGCATAACCGGCCGGAGCGCCCGGAAATGGCGCCACGCCAGCCTGCACCATGTGCTGCATAGAGAGAGATAAAGAGAGAACACGGTGGGAAGAGGGAGAGAGGGAAAGATGGTTTTATGGATTAGTATTGGTCGCATAAAAATGTAAGTCCCCACCCACAGCACCCACAAAAAGTAACTAAAAATGAACATTATGGGTATTAGTTTTTATGACCCCTTTCACAGGTAGGGTATCATGATTTTTGGCAATAAAGAAGGAAGTATCTACACATGACCACAATGGATAGAGCAATGGAACCTACTCTGTTTTTTTTTTTCTTTAGAGATCCTTTATTCTACCCAAGATCATTTTAGGATATGTATGCATTCGTCTTTAACCTCTAACGTTTTTCTTTTACTGTTTTCCTGGTGACACATTTCATACATCTTATGGTTCCACTTCCGCTACTCCCTCATGCCACATTACACGCCATTGCCACTGCCGCCGCTTCTATGTGGCCCCATAAAAGTGCAAAATGAAAACCAGGTAGTTTATTTTGCAGGTGGTAGCCCCCCATTACCCATTGGGTGCCCAGAGCTTTGGGGTTTTAAGCTCTGGTTTAAACAAAGGACACATGCACATAAAAACACACACAGAGAGAGAGAGAGCGAGAGAAATAGAGAGAGAGAGATGAAGAGGCGCCAGGATAAGGCTAAGGATATCAGTGGAGTAGAGTGGAGTATGCGTACAAAATGCGCTTTAAATTGTCAGTTTTATTTGTATAAAATGTGGCCCTTATTTGGCTTGTCTCGCCATGGGTTTACCCACCGCACCGCACCGTACCGCTCGCTACCTCTGTCAGCATCTATGAAATATGCAAAATTTGCAGCTTATTGTTGGTTGTACCTAAATACAGATGGTATATACATATATATATATATACGAGTATATGTACCCAACACCCACCCAAAAGAGTAGCATAACTTTTTCTGTGGATTTTCGGGGTGGTGGCAAGAACGGGATTAGCATGTGAGTGGCATTTTAATATGGTTTTTAGCCATGGAAAATCGTTACCTTGCACCCAGTCCTAGTCCGAGGCAACGTAATAAGCACTAGAGATGAGCAATGTGCCACGAAACGAGTAAGAATTTAGCTAAGAAAGGCGAATTTTATAAATAAAATAGCTACAAATTTCTTTAGTTTCATTAAAATATTTAAATTATATGTCAGTTTGAATTATCACATATTTTTCCCACTTTTTATTGGCTTTTTTACTGCACTAAAACACGCAATAAAAACAAATCGTTGGTACAAATCACTGCTCATTGGGCACATCTCTAGTGAAGAGAACTTTCTTCCTACATGAAATGGTTATTAATTTTATGGCTTAATGCAAAAATGTCACACAAAATGCAGCTAAGTGAAGGGTCTTGAATGCTTAATGCCCCTGTGCATCTGACACGATGCTGAGGGGAGTAAAACTGTAAAACGATTTGAGATTTTTCTCGTGTGTGCATTGCGCAAAAATCATTTGTTAAATGTAAATATTTTATAATTAGTGGGTTTTAAAAATACCAAAAAACGACTATAAATACCAGGACGAGTATCTGTTGGATACAGTTCATCTATCTTGGCAAGCAGGGCATAAACCAGAACCAGAACCAGCATTTCAACAGCGCCACAAATAGTATATCAATGCACAGCAAACGGCAAACGTGTCGCCGTTTTCTGTTTATTTTGGCATCAGCCCATCACACAAAATTGCAGTCGTCATGGCCTCTATGGCCATCCCCTATGGCACCTATATCCATTTTCTATAGTGATTCTACTCCACTTCTTTGCCTGGCTATTTCGTCTGCTTGCTTCTCAACGATTTGTGCTTTGAAAAATTAGCTTGTTAATTAAATTCAAGCTGCATATGACATGTCGCCTCCACTGCGCGCTCGTTGCAGGTGCACAAGTACGAGAAGATCTATATGTAGACATTCTACTCCTCCCGTTTCACCTTCTTCTCTCCCTCCCTCTCTATCTCTCTCTCTCGCTCGCTCATCTGGTGACATAATCCGCTGTGCAAATTGGCGCTCATGTTGCTCATACGCCGCGTTAGACAGCATCACACATGATATATGTATGTATATGCGAAATAATATATATATATATATATTTCTCGTTTAGATTGAAGCACAACTAAACAGCAAATAGCAAGCGAAAATTGTCATGTTAAATTTACATAAAAATTCTATGGCTATGGGGAATACACATTTTATGATGTGTCAATGAAAATGTTTGTGCCCCAAACACTTGATTATTCCCGCTTCCCGACTCCTTTGAGAGTCTCTCTCTCTTAATGAGTCTGCCGTATGTGTCTGGGGTTCGTTCTATTCTGGAATTTTTTCCCTTTACTTTTTTTTATTTTAACAACTCTTTCATAATTTTTCTGTCAACTATGGGAATGCGGGTTTGGTCCCAGTCGCCATCACTGTCGTAGACTTTGGTACTTCAGAAAATATCGTACTTTTGCTGCATTCACAAATATTTTTCATTTAATTGCACTTGAACAGAGGGTCAGAGGGCACAGACCAAAAACTGGGTACAGTTCAAATTTGCTCCTCCCTTTTTGGCTATTTTTTTGGGGCCATATTTACATGGCAAATATTTCGCTCGGCATTGCAGTAGCGGCAGCAGCAACAGCAGCAGCAGCGGCAACGACAACGACAGAAGTGGGAGCCGCCCTGGCAATTTGCATTTGCAGTTACTCTTCAAAAAAGAACAAGTATTCGCATTGGTTCGATACTATGACTATGTGATACCCTCGATATTCAGTGTTTTGAACAATGTCATTTGATTGGATAAAAAAATTGGAAAACAATGAAAAGAATTTGAAATACATACAAAATAAAAAGTAGAAAAAATGTTTTGGTTTCATGACTGATAAAATGATCGTTCTAGGAACATTTAGAGTGGTTTGGAAAATAGTTTCAATATAGATCACACCTCTACAATTTATCATCTTTTTTCTGAGGAAGAAAAGTAAAAGGAAATGCTTGGCAACCGAAAAAAACGTTCTCCTGCCTGTCACATATCACATCGAATCAAAACCCATTGTACTACTATTGTAGTGAAAAATTACAGGGTACTGGTTAAAGAAACAACAAAAACGTTCGGCAGCTGGCGTTGTTTTATTGACTGGGGGCCCAACGATGACGACGTCGTCGTCGTTGCTTTTTGTTTACATTTTGTGCTGGTAGCATCCACGGCATTCACCGCTGCTGCCACTGCTGCCACTGCAGCCGCCCGCGTTCCGTTTTGGTGTTGTTTTTGGAACATTTTCAACAAAACACTTTTCCGTTTTCATTTTGCAGTTTCAACAATTTTCCCTGGTGCTGTTGATGCTGGCTGCTGCGCTTTCAAGTGGCATTTTTCAAGCGTTTTTGTCTTTTCCAAAGTGTCTTTTGACGCGCAACAAATATTTCGGCAAGCGGAATGGAATCATTGAAAATGAAATGAAAATTTTTGAGAGAGAGAGAAGTCATAGAGGATTTTCCATTTTCCATGTTCATTAAATCTATTAAGTTTTTGGCAACGCGTCACACGCTGCGCCATAAGTTATAGTATATTTTTAAGTGTGTCACACGGCAGCATTCCACTTCTCTTCCTCTCTAGTGATTGATGGGGTAAAACCGAAAAATACGGGAAAGTCTGTAGAATTTTTACTTTGAAATGCATTTCTGTTTACAAAACTGGAAGGAAAAAATGTGACAGAAATCTAGTAGATAAATGCAAAAAAAATTTGAAAATCTTTGACCATTTATTTAGACAACAAAAACCGAACCAAAAAGCTGTCAAAAGTCAAAGTAAATTATAGCATAAACAATGTCTATATACTATGTATTGTGGTATGTGTATATATGGAGGGTCTCAAAGACATTACATCAACAGAATATTAATAAACAATGACGTGAGCAGCGGGTGAAATTTTTTTACTTTCGAAGACCGCTCGAAGACCGCCTCGTGTGCGTCAGCTGCTTGGTGCTGCTGCTGCTGCGTTTGTTGTCCGTTTCGATTATTAATTCCTAGACGTCGCAACATCCGATTCCATTCCCTCACCCACCCCCTAAGTTTTGAACCTGACATAGTCTAAAGGCATTTGGCCAATTACTCAATAGCTGCCGCTGTCGCTGCCTGCCACTGACGCAATCCAAACGCCACGAAGCGCCCAATTTTGGTCAATGCAATGGCAAAATTTGGGGCGACGACAACGCTCGTTAAAAGCCAGGCCAAGTCGGTCAGCGGCCACGCGGCGAATGCCAATTGAAACTGAATTGGAAAATTTGCTTAACACGCGCCTAAAGTACAAGTACGAGTACGAATACGAATACGAAATACGAGTACGAATACGAATACGAGAGACACCCTCGCATCGGCTTTGATTGTTTGAATTAAAGTAACTCTGATTTTTGCTATTTCTCAATGGGTAATGGGTGGACAGGTTGTCGCATTTAAATGTAGGTCGATGCAGGTCACGTCTTCCATGCAGATTACAGCCCAGCAGCATGCGGGAAAGTATTATATCAACAGATACCTGTCATTTCAATACCGATTACGATTCCGATTCCGATTCCATTGCCAATATGTCAATGTATGTATATTTGGTTTTGGTTTAAGGAAGTTCAAAGGTCAGGCCCAAATCCCAGTTACATCTCTAGCCATAATTGCCACACAAAAAAATACAAAACCAAAAATAGCAAAATGCAAAACGTGTCAAATCAATTTACATGGCAATTGAATGCGACAGAAAGCCCAGTCAAGGATATCAAACATATGGCATGGATGGCATGCACACGAGACTATTTGGACATACAGGTACATATATCAGGTGTGCGGGGTGTTGGCTGTTCAGGTCAGTCCTTGGGCAAATTAGGACATACGAAGAGAGTGTATGTGTGTGCATGTGTGCGCTCTGCTCTGTGTTGCTGCCTGTCAGCTTTCTGTTTTTGCCAACAGGAAATTATAGCGAAAGCGTGTTGAAGTGTAAAAGGATGTTCCCCCAAATAGAATGGCAAGTGTACATGTGT